ATTCGAAACAGATGCCCGAGCCACCTCAGTTGACTTCTCTCGATGGATAGAAGCATTGGCTCTACTCAAAGCTTCTCACCCTATAAGGGTGCACCTTACCACCCTTTGAAGGAAACTCATTTCTGCCGTTAGTATCTGTGATCTTGTCCTTTTGATCATGAGCCAAAGCTCAGGACCATAGGTGAGAGCAGGAACAAAGACCGACCGGTAAATCGAGAGCTTTGCCTTTCGGCTCAGCTCCTTCTTTACCACAACAGACTGGTACGTCCACCGTATTACTGCTGCCGCTGCACCAATCCGCCTATCAATCTCACATTCCATCCTTCCTTCACTCGTGAACAAAACCCCAAGATACTTGAACTCCTCCACCTGGGGTAAGGACTTTCCTCCAACTTGGAGATGGCAAACCACCTTTTTCCGGTAGACCACCATGGCCTTGGATTTGGAGGCATTGATTCTCATTTCAGCCACATCACACTCGGCAGCAAACCGCTCCAGTGCACGCTGAAGGTCCATGTTCGATAAAGCCAACAGAACAACATCGTCTTCAAAAAACAGAGATGAACTCCTGTGGTCCCTGAACCGGACCCTCCCCAGCCCAAAGCTGCGCTTTGAAATTCTGTCCATATAAATTATTAATAGAATTGGTTTCAAGGCCCATTGATTGACTGTGGACAAGTAGCTCTGCGTTAAATATTTTTTTTCCAAACCATGTGTAAAATATGTTTAAAAAATAATAATTACCACAGTATTATGTTTGCCTGCTTTTGCTGACGGCAATTGTGTTTAAATGGCCTTTCATCCTTTTTTATGCTTAAGTAAATGAATGCTTAAGTCCAGGCACGTGCACACATAGGGCTCAACCTGTGCAGTGCACATGCCTTTTTAGTCTTGGATAGAAAGTGCCCTTCCAAAATGATGAAAAGTGCCCCCGCGACGCGGCACAACCTCGGCCCCGCTCTTCAGTAGGCGCGCGACAGCACTGCTCTTGACTACGCGCGCGACAACACAGCTGATCAGAACGCGCGCGACAACACCGCTCTTCAGTACGCGCGCAACAACAACACCCCCCCCCCCCCCCCACACCCCCCCTATTCAAATAATTTATCCTGCACATGCCCTTTGGACGGTCTCTGCACGGGCCTGCTTAAGTCTATTTAACTGATAACATTTAATTAAATAGCATTAGCAATGCTGTAAAAGAAACCTTATGGAATTTAAAATAGTCACATTATTCTTTCACCGGAAGTTAAATAGTGTCTGAAAAGCACTTGCTGTGCATATAGCCAATTGTTGTCTGATTTCTACATAGAAGGTAGGTAATTACAAAGCATCTCCAGAAATAGTTTTACAACACCACTGATATAGCTAGAAATTGTCCCTACAATAAAAACTCGTTTTTTTACCTTATTTGGAAGGTTTTTGGATATTAAAGGTCATGAAACCCTCGATTCAGTTCAAATTTACCTTAGAATTTAAGAGCAGGAGAAAGCAAGGACAGCGAGCAGCAGTCATGTTTTGGGCCATTCTGACAAAAAACAAGGTAAAGCATAAGGAGATGCAACATTTTCATATTTAAAATGTTTATTTAAAAAAAAAATTAGACACATACTTTTAAGAGTCATACGTTATAGAAGTCCTTGGGCACTGGAGCATTTGAAAGTGAGCCTCTGTCAGCATTTTAATGCTATGTAAATATGAATCAGCTGATTTAGACTCTGCTTGTAAACATTTCAGTGTCCGTGGCTGTTTAATTGCTGTCATCTCAATAGGAAACGTAACAGCCAATCAATGTCACTGCTGGGGTTTGCATATTAATTATCCTGTATATAACATCACAGTCAATGTGTTGTTCTGACTGGTCTGTGTTTTCAGGGATTTTACACCGTTTGTCACTTTAGTGGCTAATTCGTACCAGTTCAGTCGTACGAAAAAGTATTTTAAAAAGGAGGCATGGCACCTAACCCCACCCCTAAACGTCATTGGGTGATCGTACTAAACTGTACGAATTAAATCGTACAAATTCATACGAATTAGCCACTAAATCAAAAAGTTACAAATTGCAGTGAGATTGCATTGGATTTACATGAAAACAAAGAAACAATGGTGTTTAAGACTCAAGGTTACTCTTATTATTCAGCTATTATTGTATATCAACATTTTTTTCTACGGAATCTTTACATAAAAAAAAAAAAACGAATTAAACAAACTACTTTAACAAAAAAAACTATATCAGTTGAGTCAGTGATTTAGTGATTACATTGAGACAGTGATAAAGGTGACTGTTACTTGCTTCAGTTCTAAATGAATCATCTGTTTTGAACAAATCATTTGAATTAATAAACCACTCACTGAGACAGACTTTTGATCACTTTCTGTGATCAACATGCCAGCACATAAACAACTATAATATATAAATTATAGTTATTTAGGGGAGGGGTGGGGTGTTTTCTAGTTTAATTGGAAATTACTTTGTGATTAATAAGGTTAAAATAATGTCATTTTGTGCAAACAAAGGTTAAACAAATTCAGCCATGCAAAAAAAAAAAAAACACAACTAATGACTCTATATTACACACAAAAAGGAATCCAGAATGGGTTCCTGATGCATTAAGGGTATAGTGTTTTTGCAAACACAGATAAGCTTAACAAAACTGGAAAAGTTACAAAAATGGTGGACTTTACTCCAGTACTCTTGAATAAAAGGGTAAATAAAGACTCGTTTAATCTGGAGTTTGCAGCAGTTTCTATAAACAGGCTTTATATGGTTCATAAATACACAAGAAACAGAAAATCTGATTTGTCTTAACCGTTAAGCTCAAAATGTTTCCTAAGATGCACACTCAGATTAAAAGATTAGTTTATGCCAAAATGAAAATTCAGTTATTCACTCACCCACATGTTGTTCTAATCCAGAGACATTCATTCAATTTCACACTTTTTTTAGATTAAGTCAGGGAGCTCCCTCATAGCTTGTCGTGGAAGAGAAGATATTGGTGAACAAAGTTGTGTTTACACAAGTCTTCTTGGAGCTTCTGTATGATTACAGTTGAACCACTGTAGTTACACAGATTGTTTAGACAATGTTTTTTGGTTCTATTTCTGGACTTCGAACATCTCATGATCATTGCTATTCATGGAGTTCTTAGATTTAAAATATTTTAAAAGGTCCTATGAAATTAAAATAAAGTTTTTTAGATGTCAGTAACAGTATTTTTGGTTTTTAAGATATCTATAAACTAGTGTGCTCAAAACAAAACAGCGACAAAATTTGCGCTAAGACATAAAAATGATATAAACATGTAAAGCTTGTAGTTCGTCACTTCCCCCTATATGGAAAAACAATTTTTTTCCTGTCACCCCACACTAGTTTCTCATCAAATCATAACCATCCAAAATGCCCTCTAGTATCTGACATGCCCCGCCCCATTCAAGACTCTTTACATTTGATGCACTTGACATCAATCACTGACAGAGCAGTAATTAAAAACTAAATGCTATCGGCTGTTTCTTTTAAAGGGGAGGAGCTACACTATGGCCCACCCTCTCGTCATGTTTCGGTAGAGATTACGTCAACATATAAAACTGCATATTTCAAAGCAGGCAGCACGGTGCCGAAGTGGGTAGCACAATCGCCTCACAGCAAGAAGGTCGCTGGCTCGAGCCTCGGCTGGGTCAGTTTCTGTGTGGAGTTTGAATGTTCTCCTCGTGTTTGCGTGGGTTTCCTCCGGGTGCTCCGTTTCCCCTCCCCCAGTCCAAAGACATGCGGTACAGGTGAATTAAGTAGGCTAAATTACCCGCAGTGTATGAGTGTGAATGTATGTGTAAGGATGCTTTCCAGAGATGGGTTGCAGCTGAAAGGGCATCCGCTGCGTAAAACAAGTGCTGAATAAGTTGGCAGTTCATTCCGCTATGGTGACCCCAGATTAATAAAGGGACTAAGCCAAAAAGAAAATGAATAAATGAATCTCTTTCAAAAGCATTCACCCCAAATACCTTCTCACCGTTCTCCCTCTCTTCTCATATGGGATGGTGGGCCAAATCAGCGGTTACCATAGGCCAACTTTGGCCCGCAGACTCTACTTTGGTCATCTCTGAACGTACCTCTTAACCTTTATGTGAAATAATTTTCCTTTTTAGTCAGGTTTGACAGAATATCTGGATTGAAAATATATGCAGTGCTTAATTTGCAAATGACTTGTTCTGGCACAAATTAAGCCCTGAATATATGTCATGTGAAACATGTTGTTTTCATGTTTGGATGAATGTTCCCAGGGGTCTGGGAAATCATGAAACTGGATAAGCAGGTTAGTCAGTTAAGTTTCAGTTAAGTTTGAACCAATCTTCAGGTCAGCTTCAACTCCTGTGCAGTGACTGAACAAAAACTCCAAGCTTTAAGTCATGAACAAAGAAATTAAAACAGTGTGCTTGCATTGTAAAAGTCATGCGAAATTAAACAACAAGTTTATCTAAATATGAAAAAGAAAATAGAGCTATAAACACTTTTAACAAAGATGAAGATGTCCAATTTTTTAATCTGTTGAAAGACATACTGTATGTATTTTTCATTTAATCAGTATTAAACCACAATGTTTGAGTACCTCAGTCATCCTTAGAGGTAAAAGATGGATGTCACAATCATACAGTCACTGCTGAAAAGGGTTAATATCTGCAGAGGATGCTAAAAAACTGGAGAAGCAGACAGTTTAACTGTTTAAAACACACAAGAAACTCCCACTCTTAATTCAGAGTGAAACCACACACAGTATTAAAAACTATGTAAACTTTATCAGGGTTTTTTTTTTTTTTTTTTTTTATAATTTCAGCTATATTTTTGTCTAGTGAAATATATGTAAAAACTTTTGTGTACAATGTCTTTCTCAGGACAGTATCTAATAAATAAAGAAATAACATGCATTTTTTAAACAATTTCTCAAAGAATAAGTAAACTTTTGAGCAGTCCTGTATATTTCCACTTCAATAATAAAGACAATAAAACTGTATTGTTAACAATTTATTTGTAATAAGACATGGTCTGGGGCTCCTATGTTGTGATCACACAATTAAAAAAAACAGAAATTATTTTCAAATACAGAACTAAGTGCCCTTTGTAAAACGCAAACTCATTTATGTGAAAGTAACTTACATTTTCAACAATACATGGTCAATTACGGATTTTCTTTTTCCAACATCAATGAAAATATTTCCAAAAAAATAAAACAAAAGCATCAAACTTTATGTTCACCAAGCAATGCACGGAATGGAGTGTAAATCTAGAAACGTTTAAAATATTGTGGAATCACTCCATACTAACTCTGCTTTCCTGGAGAATGAAACCCCTCTGTAAGGTACAGCGGAGTAAATGAAACTGATAATAAAATGGTCCTCACTCAAAATATAATCCAACAACTCTTTAACCTCACTCAGCTTGCACTGACACCACAAAATACTTTTAAGAATTTACATTATCCACCTTATTTCTTATTTCTCGATGAGAAAGTTTCTAGAATACTTTTTATTCTTTAAGTGCTGAAACTGAAAAACGATTTAAACTACTGTATAAACCAGAGTGTTTAATACATTTATGCATGTATATTTTAAAATAAAACAGTAAAAAAATACCAGTTTGCACTATTAAACAGCCAAACAAAAATAGCTGATATCAATTGACAACACAAGCCAAACACATTCAATTTACAAACATACATACCTGCTCTTATATGAAAAATAAGGTGGATAATAAACTACTTGGCCAATATGATCAATTTAAAAATAACTGTTGTTTGTTAACAGTATTAGAAATTGTATATTCAGCTGCAAATAATCCATCATAGGATGCTTAAAGGAGTAGTTCCAACAGAAAAAAAAAACAAATTCTGCCATCACTTATTCAAAACTTGTTTGAGTTTCTTTCTACTGTTAAACAAAAGAGAAGATATTTTGAAAAATGTTGGTTGCTGGCAGCCTGTGCCCAGTTGCATAAGCACTTTAAGTTTTTCAATTAAGAATGAAACTTAAGAGTTAATTTCCCCTTACCTAAGTGAACTATTTAAGGGTGTTGCATATAATCCCTTAAAAAGTTTGGTAATGCAGAGTTCAGACTGCATGATTTTAGCCCCAATTTTGACTTACCAGTTTTGAGAAATCGCCGATAAATGCCTGAAATCACAGACAAATCGGTGCTCATTCATGTGAGTAACAATCACATAGTATGAGCTATCAAAGACAGCATCTGAGAGAGTTGAAGAGGAGTCGCCGACAACCCTGAGATATTTGGCATGCTAAATATTTGGACCTGTCTGTGATTCAAATGATGCTGTGTAAAATGTGTTCTGATTGAAATAACATTGGTGATTACCCACAGCCAATAAGAGAGCAGCATCCACTAGTATGGGTGTCTGCAGGCCAGAGGGAGGTTGGAGGAGAAGTTAAAAGTGCTTCTTTTCTGTCTATTTGGACCCAAGTAATGGAGGAAAAACTAGTGGAAATTTGGCAGCAGCACCTGTGTCTGTTTGATGTGTCATCTGAGCAATATCACAATGGGTCGAAAAAGAAAAAAAGTCGAGGAGAAATTTCTAATTATCTTCAAAAGCCAGGTAAACAAAATATGTAGTTAATAACAAACTTTACTACAATACTACGTGACCTCACATTGTTTCCATGTCACTTCTCGTGTGTGTTTAGTTGTGAGAGACGTAGTTTGTGGATCAAGACAAAATTGTCGACGATTCTTCCTTTTATGTCATACAGTGTGAATCCGCTTTAAACACAGTGTGAAAACATCTGTGACACGACTACTTTGAAAATCGTGCAGTTTGAACTCGGCATAAGGGAAACCATTTTGACAGAGGTTTGTTGTTATGTTTACATACTATTAATATTTACAATATATTATGCAAACGATATTGTGCCATGGACATGCTACTCATATTTTAACACTTGTGGCAGTTTTACAGAAAACCTATAGGACATGACCGTTAAAAAAAAGACTCAATGTGAAAGTCCTGGGACATTAGACAAGAGTGATTGTTGTGCTTGCATCACAGCATCTGAAATTGTCTGGAATAAACTTGTCGCTCGCACCACATTTGAAGACAGTTGTGATCTGAGCGCTCTTTCATCTAGTCTACTGTCACTATGCATATGAATGTTAACGTACAGAAATACAAAATGGCAAACAGCTTTCTATAATTAGGTATAATTAACGTCTTGCATGACAATTAAATCCATATTCTAGCATCAGTTTTTCCATCAATTGTGTTTGTAAAAAGACTGGACTTGGGGAAATAACAGTTAAGGCACTTCATGTAACACTTTCGCAGTTTACTTAAGAGGAAAAAAAGACATTTAAGGGAAATGAGTGTTCTGTGACATTCAACTCAGAATTCCTATAGCTTCAAAGTACCTAAAAAGAGCCACATATTAATAAATAATGTTATAATAGCTGTTTTAACATTAAGCTATGATTAAATTGTCTCTTGTTACAGTTATAAAAAAGTTTGATAACAAGCAGGAAATGTTCATGGGCCAATGACATGACCACATAGAAATGGTCTATAGAAACCATTTAGTAACATTTCATTTTTATTTTATGCAACACTCTTAATATTAAGGAAAACCTAAAGGTGACACTAAGGGAAAATTACCTTTAAGGTGTTTTGGAACCTGCTGACTTCCATAGTCATATTTTTTTCCTAATATAGAAGTTGATGGTTGCCAGGAACCATCATCCTTCAAAATATTTTCTTTTGGCTTTAACAAAAAAAGAAAGCCAGATAGACTTAAAACCTTGTGAGGAAGAAAAAACGAGGAGGGAAAGTTTCAATTTTGGGTGATCTATCCCTTTCAAAAAGTAATCCTATGAAATACCAGAAAGCCAAACTTGCCATAATTGACTTCCAAACATTCCTTACAAAATGATCTGTTCACATTATTTCAATTCAAGCCTATATTTTCTATTATTGACAATCCATCCTAATGACAACCTTGATCCTTGCATCAAAAACAAAATTATATTCAGTGCTAATCCTCACTAAAAATAATAACACTAAGGTTATTCATACTTATTACTTGTAAATATTAAAACAATCTGATTTTGACGTAACAGTTTAAGAAATGGAGATTTCTCCATCTGTAGGCACAATTCATTTAAATCTCATGTCTTGATGCTGGTGCCATTATGTACCGTAGTGCTTTCACTAGCAGCTGTTGCAATGGGACTAAGTTCAGTGCTGACGGCTTCTTCCGTACTCTCGGCGCCTGCCCTCTGATTGCGATAATGACACGTGATGATGAATGCACTACAGCCCAGATAAATCACAGTCAGCAGGGTGAAGTAAAAGAAATAAACAAAAAACTGCAAGAGAGAGGAAAAACAAAATCATATTAGAACAAAATAGCTAAATATATTGGTCCTGCTTTTCACTCTTTTCATTAGTTCATGTATCTTCTAGGCATGGGCCGATATAAGATTTTGATGGTATAATATCCTTAAATAAAAATATCTTGGTTTCACGGTATCACAGTATTGTGATTACTGCTCTAAAATATATTTTTTAATGTCTGGGTTAAAAACAAAATCTTTTTCCCCTTTGAAAACAATATATATATATATATA